GTGTGTGTGTGTGTGTGTGTGTGTGTGTGTGTGTGTGTGTGTGTGTGAGTGTGTGTGAGTGTGTGAGTGTGTGAGTGCATCGCAGCTGAACCGGTGACAGTGCAATTCTGTTCCTCAAATTTGTTCTGACAGAGATGTTAACGAAAGGACGACAATGCTGTAACGTAGCTACATGATCTTTAAATCCAGCATCCAGACGTCCGCTCTGTATACGAGGCTGGACGTTTAGAAACCCTGTGTGCGTGGCTGGTTCTCCCCCTCTGAGTGGACCACAGCTAACCGTCTCTAGAACTCCAGGTTCTTAAATCTGTCCGGCAAGTTCTCTCTGTGCACGGCCGACAGGGAGGCACGACTCAAAGTGTCCCTCATGCCGTGGATCCTATCACAGTTATTCCAGCTGAGCAACTTCACAAGTAGGCAATTTAAAAAAGCAACAAGCTTTGGTGACCATCTCGTTCACCAGGTGTTTGTTCTACAGCAACAGACAGACAAAGTGAAAAGATTTGTTTTTGACGAAGATTAAAAACTGTGAAAATAAAACAAGAGGATGCTGGAAATGTCTTGATTATCTAAAGTGCAGGTTTGTGGTGTGTTACACTGGATGGTACAGATTGTCAGGTGATCTGCGAGGTCCTCACAGCTTCACGGAGGTGCTATCAGGAGGACTCAGCGGGGCCATGGAGTCCACGGGGCCCCTCAAACGACAACCTCTTCTCCGATGGCAGAACACCACCTCCGCCAAGAACCACGCAAGAAAAGAGGCTGTGATTTGAGATTGAAGAACGGCGTCTCAGTGTTTCGTCAGTCAGTTGTCGGCTCCCCCCCCAGCCTCGGGGCCCGTGAACTTGTCGGGGGGGGGGGTGCAGAGCTCCGTCGAATCACAGCTGAAGAGACTAATTGTTCCACCGCAGGGCTGCATTCGCTGTCCCACCCTGCTCAGAGTGATGGAGGCGATGAGGAGGAGGAAGAGGTCAGGAAAGAGGCGGAGGACGCAGGCTCTTGCACTTCATCTCGTCCAGGCCCTTCCAGTACTTGTAGTTCTCCGACAGGTGTTCCATGAGACCAGGCAGGCTGGCGAAGGCTGAGGGGGGAGGGGCACAGAAGTTCAGGTGGGTTGAAGAAAAAACAAACATGGGCACAGATTTGATGATCACACGACCACCTGTGCTTTAAAACAGTTTGTGTTGCTGTAATCATTCCTCTTCATACAGACCGTGTTCTTTGCAAACATGTGATTGTAACTCTGGAAAACACCCTCCTGATTTGACGAACAGACTTCTGAAGCCTCATATTAATCTCTGCTGAACTTTCTTTGCACAGAACTTCTGACCAGCATCTCTTACATCACATCATGAAGGAGGTCTCTTCAGGGCCGGCATGAACCGCAGGAACAATTACAGCCGCCAATTAACTCTCTCGGTGCACAAAAACACGTGCAGCTCTCCTTCAAAGCTTCAGACACAAACACAAGCTGACACGCCACACCTGCTACCAGACACTTCCTGTTTTCATTCCACATGAGCTGTTAGGAAGATGTGCGTGCGTGCGTGCGGTTCATATACAGTGGTTCATGTTATGTACTCTCTGCAATGTTTTCTCCCACAGTAAAGGACTCATTGGGTGAAACGGTCTCACTGCGTCCCCCCGTGTTGTTTACGTCCTCGTTTCCGGCTCGTTGATGACCCACAATGCCTCTCTGGAACTAACCGTGACCCCGGCGATGACCCCGGTGAATAGAAAGCGACTGCTCTTCCTCTCCATTAACCGAGTGATCGTGAACCCCCCATCCCCTCTACTATTTTTTCCCCAACTCCCCCCCCTCCCCCGACGCCCTCGCTGCTTCTCTCTCCGTCCCGCTGGCATTTGGAATCTTTCCGTGACATCAGAGCGGCGTTGACAGTAAACAAGTTCCCTCTTGGGGAGACTAAACTAAAAGGGAAATTCAGTGGGAAAGGGGAGCAGATAAGCACCGTGCGCTCCCTTTTCCTGTGATTCGCTATCCTTGCAATCTGCCCAGAGAAATTAAGCAAAGTAAAGGAGGGCAGGGGTGAGGAACTCAATGTATGAGGTTCTGTTTCTTCCTGGTAGTCGATTTGTTTCATTGATTTTCTTTTGAATAGCTGAACAAATCAGAACCGTACCAGGTTGGATCTGTTTCTGCTAAAGTCACAACTGAAATAGAAAGACAATTAGAGTCTAAAAACAAAACAAATAAGGTCTATTTACTAGCTTATACTTCAGCTTTGAAAGCTCCCAAAAGAGCTTGCAAGTAGAATTTTCAACTTCAGATTTAGTTTTTCAATTGTCAAAGTCAAGTTTTAGCTAAACAGCTGTTTATATGTCAACATTTGTACACATTCAACAAACAATGTTAATCATAGGTGGACTTACTTAGCAGGTGAGGAAGCGACACCAAGCCAATTATGTTACATACTTAAGTCCTTTAAACATTGAAGCTTGTGAAGTGTGTGACTCAAACTATGGCTTGTGGCCACACAGTCAGACTCCACAGTAAATATATACAGGGCTCTGCTTTAGGAACCATCTCGCCTACTTGGAATTGAAGTGGAAAAAGCACAGAAATACAGTGCGAGCCTTCACACGCACAGAAGAAGATAGAGTTCTTACCATCCCAGGCGTCAAACATGTCAGTGATGAAATAGTCCATGAAGGAGATCTGAGATTTGGGAACGCTGCAGGTGTTCCTGTCAAACACCGGCATCACCACCGGCAGCCCTTGTGTCTTCTCCTCATCCGTCTGCAGGGCGAACACATAAGAGATCACAACGAATCACACTCCAGGAATGTGAGAGGCCATACATGAGATCATGCAAAGTTAGATGATGAAATTGATCACAAAAACCCCCCCCAGAATGCTTTGCCTCCCTTTATAGATGCACCTCACGTTCTCAGCTTTTTAAATGCATTCTCCTATTAAACTGTGCTGCAGCGGTGCTGTTCTCCCACACCTGTGCAAAGTACTCCTCAGAGATGCGTCCAGCCCACTCGATGCAGAGCTCGAGCGGTCTGCAGGGGTTCGCCACATCTGCACACTTGATCAACATCCTCTTTATCAGCAGACGGTTCTCTGGAGAGTTCCTGATGTTGGCCTGACCCTCACAGTCGCTGTTCACGCTCTGCAGGAGAGACGCAAAATACATCATGACCCGACATGCTTAATCTGAAAGCTGCAACAAACTAAGCACACTTACACTCTTGCTGGTCTCCTCTATGGCAGCCATCGGCTTGTTGATGCTGTTGACAAACTTGCTGACGTGCTCAAAGTGTCTCGTCATCTCTGTAGCCAGCACCATGTCTATGATTGCCTGTCGCAGTGTTCGAAACTGATTCCTGTCAGCGGTGAAGGGGCGGAGAGGATAAAGTGAAGATCTGGATCCGTCTCATACGAATACAAAGGATGATAATGTCACACCGAGCCTCCTCTACCGACCTGTCTGTGTTCTTGAAGATGTTGCTCTTGCTGTCTCGGACGGTGAGCTGGAAGGCGAGGGCCGCGTGGTGGCTCTCCAGCACGGCCGTGTCGTTGTAGAGGATCGCCAGTTCGCTCCCGGCGTTGCACAAGAAGGAGTTGGTCCTGCCCGGGTGGTCCACATCGTGCACCGTGGCCGCTATCAGAGCAGCCACTTTGTCCAGCTGGTCCAGACTGGTCTGCATGGAACAGCAGAGACACAGAGGGATGTCACGACCAGACTGCACTGCACGGACACCGCTAATGTTAATAAATGAAGCTGTACGATGGATTACCATAAATCATGAGTTGTAGACGCCTTTTATACTCTGACATTAAGAAATGTTGACCGGTTTTTGAGCTCTGTTTTGGATCAACAGCAGCCTGATAAAACTTTACCACCTCGGCTGACATTCAAACATTCTGTGTTTGTGTGACACGAGGAAGACGCCTCTTCTGTACTGTATTCCATATGGCTTGGTATGACTTAAGTTTAGTTAAAATGGCTAATAAAATGTAGACTTAAATGAACACACCTAATGTTATATATTTTATATATAAGGGGCTGCGGGTGGTACCTTGACTCTCTCTTTGCGGAGGAAGTAGGCAGTGGCGTGCAGCACGTCTGCGGCATGCGTGGAGTTGTGGTAGGAGTTGGAGGAGTGGTAGCTGGCCTCCATGAGCTGCAGCCAGGAGCGCAGCGTGGCCTCCGAGCAGCTCAGGAAGTCGCACACGCCGAAACTGGTGAAGATCTTCAGCCCGAGGTAAGTCAGCGGTCTGCAGAGGATCCGCACAAAAGACCTCAGCCACTACTTCTGTGTCCTACTCTCTTTGCCTCATCAGGGTGTCTTTGTTATCCCTTCTTTCTGCATTCTCATACGTTTTAGCACATTTATAATTGTTGAATGAAGCTTCTTATTTACCCTAAAGACATGAGAATGGTATCGATCGTCTCAAGACAGTCGGGCGAGACGATAATTAAATATGGGATTTATTGTCTTTCGATGGAATCATACATCGAGATTATGTGACATATGATCACATCGTTTATATTGACAGTAACATGCACATACGAACTCAAACTTCTCAGAAAATCGGATGTGAAATATTTCGAGGAATCGTGTGAAGAGGTTGAAGGTCGGGCGACATCACCTGCTAGTTTTGAGTGTAACGTAACAGTAAATTAAGCAACCGCTGAAGTGATTACCTCAATAAAATGATTACTATACAACAAGCAATACACCGCCCTCTCTGAACCTGATCATCTTTCTCCACTGTCCACCGTCGTCTCACCTCTTGTGTGTAGCCGCCTCCAGCTCCAGGATGTTGAACTCCCAGCACTCCTCATCGTTCAGCATCTCGGCGATGGGCGGAGGGACGTCATTCAGAGTGACTGGGATGGCCAGCTGGCTCTGGCTCATATCTAGCAGATAGACAGACGCGTGAGCGTGAACACACACACACACACACACACACACACACACACACACACACACACACACACACACACACTTTAAGGTGATTTGACCATAAAAGGGGCAAACCGAGAGGGAGCTGTGTGCGATTTGACGAGTGAATAACGAATGGCTGTGCCAGTCTTGGCTCTCTAACATCTCTAATATCTATATACATGTGCTGGCTGAGCGCCTCACTTTGTGGAGAGATGGTGCGTGATAAGATTGTTTTGTTAGAATGGTATGAGAGCAGAAGTCTCTGCAGCTCTGAGATAAGCATACTGTTTCCACTTTAATGAAAGAGAAGAACATTTCTCCAGAAACAGACTCTTGATTTAGATTCTCCTCTCAGTTAAGTGCTCTTGTGACTGTGATCATTATAACGGGGTTACGCAACGAACTCCGATGGAAGGATCCACACTCTTCAAGAACATTCATCACAACAGTAACCACTAGATGAATAATATTTATTCATTAGATCCTCTCAAGGCAGCATAATCTGGTGATAATGACGGCCGCAGGCTAAAACATCTGTACTCTTTTCTTAACTCGTGAACATTAAAGCTCTTGGTTATCTTTTAGAGAGTGAGCCTGTAGGTCAATATCAGAGCGCTGCAGATGTACCTAGACTTTTTGCCGAGAGTTAGATGAGAAGATCGCTGCCGCTCTCGTATATGTGCGTTAAACATGAATCTGGAGTTGGGAGTCGATTAGCTTAGCTTAGCATAAAGACTGGAAGCAGGGGGAAACAGCTAGCCTGGCTCTCTCAAAGTCACTGGCCACTAGTGCTACGTTTCCACTAACGTATAGTGAGAGTATATCAGTTGCACAGGGCCTTTAAGAGGTATTATATCATATCACTACTATTATCATATTGTATTATATCAATATCAGTGATAATTCACTGGTTCTTTAAAACTTACTTTTGCAGAAGACATATTCATTCCCAGAGAGTCTCCGCAGTCCATCCTGGAGAGAAAAACAACAATAAGAAATAAGTTAAAACATTGAAGGAAAACATTGATTCTTTGGTTCATTAAAAGCTTTAACTCCATTTACTCTATGAATCTGCAAGACACAAATATTAAGGAATGGGACAACAGAATTTATTGTGAAAAACAACAATGTGTTAGTTTGTGTCTCTCAGCTCCAAGACAAGTTGTTTCTTCTGAAAACATTAATCTTTAACAAATAGATATTTGTATTTTTTTAAAGGCTCAGTCATCTCCTAAATAAACTGGCCTCTAGTCTTTATCCAATGTTACCCACACAGGGAGAAATTGTAAATCTTTAATGGAGTCTGTGGTTCAAAGGACGAAGATATATCCGGTTTTGGATACTTAGACAATCTACAAAAGTAGATCCATTTTTATTTGTAGACAAAAAAAGTAGATAAAAAGTAGATTAAGTTGAATTCGGTATTTGCTTCTGCAGTCGACAGATGGATCTGAAAACTCACAAGAAACCCCGTTTGCAGAACGACTGACATCTGCGTGCAGTTACTCACTTCATCGTTGGTCTTATTCAACAAAATTCAGAAATAAATAAATAAACAAAGACTCTGTTGGCACTCCGAAAAAACACAGATTCGATTTTGGAAGCTAGAGACGTCTTACTCCAACAAGAATGCATGTTCAACTTCAGACGCATGAGGTCAGAACATTTTTACAATGTGATTAAAATAGTACACTGAACTTCTCCTTATAAAGAGCTTCAGGCATGTACACTTATGAATGAACTCAATCGTACACTCATGAGCCCCCCGACCAGGTCGTTGGTGTGGGGGTCGTCATCTTTGGAGGCGAGCTGAGGCGAGTAGAGCTCCGTGGTTCTCAGGATCTCCAACACTCGATCCAGGGCCTCGGCCACCGTCACCGGACTGTTCTCCTGGGCCGCGTTGATGATGTTTATTACCTGGGAGAGAGGAAGAATTAAAACAGTTTAAACTCTGTATTTCTGCTGCAGAACAGACCCTACATACGTGCACATGGAGCCCTCTGACAGACATGCTGTCAAACAGAGAGCTCCTTTCTTTGGCCATGTGTTCATGGAGATGTTCACGTGACGCTGGAGGAAATGTTGTCTGAGGCACAACGGCTAAAAAAAGCTGCTGCTCGAACACACAAGAGCATCACAGGACCTGCAGTGGGACGGGGGACGGGGGGGCATAATGACCCTGATCCAGCACAGTCAGGGAGAATCCAGAGAACCCAGAACTATTCTGAGCCTTCTCATTTAAATGTGACACACACAGTATGAAATGCCCCGATGTTGCAGTAACATATAAATGTTTTTCTGAACGATCCTAAGAAACGTAGCTTCCTGCTATGAATGCAGAAACAATGGGACCTTTGTTTTTTTTTTTACTGCAAGTAATTCATCACGTATTAAATTAAGCTGAATACTCTTTTGTTGTCGTTTTTTGGAAAATAGCTTTAACTTTTATTTCATGAACACGCGGTCAAATGTGACTTCCTGATTACAGACGAGGAGTCAATTAGAACGGTTGACCTTTCCTAAAGTGTATAAAATGTTCTGAAAGTAACCATCTCCACAGAAGAGATCTAATACCTCTGGAGGCAGGGTTCTGTCCATGCACTGTATCTTCTTACTGGTGCTAGATTCCCATAAAGTCTGGCTACTCTGCAAGAAAGTGAGTTCAAACACCAAATGGAGGCGGCCTATGAGCGGCCATCAGAGGCGAACACCTGTGTGGTGTTTGGAATAACGTGCCAAACTGCTAGAATTTGAACGGACAGATTACAGTTTAGGTGCCGCCATGAACCCATGAGCATCGGCTGAAGAAACACGCTGCTTCAGGGCCATAAAATAACTTTATTGTTGGTGAAAATCCAACATGAGCAACCTGATGACGGCTGGTGGAGGAATGAGCTCTACTGAGCGACTCCTCCTCTGGAAGAAACATTTGTGTATTTTAATAAAAGCGCTGAAGGCAGAACCTGCCTCCTGCACACGTTAGTGTTCCTTCAGCTCTGTCATCGTCTTCTGGTCATCTGTTTGTTTTATATTATATTAATATGCTTTCATTGGAAATACGGCGGTGAATGATTAAACTAAACCAGACTTAAGCACAATAACTGTTGTAGATATTGACAAAACCTCACTCTGATCACTGGGGATGATGCAGAAAGAGGATCCGTCCCCAAAAAACACCTTTGAGCAGCAAACAGTCAGAAAGAATGTTTCATTTTTAAAGTTTTATATATTCCATGAAAGAGGCGTTAAAAATAGTCTATAATAGAGAAAAAAACATGCAGAATGTTAGTTTATTGTTTTATTTAGTGCCAAATAAGTTTCCCAATGTTTTATCGTTAGCTGCGCAGGACGTACCTTTGTGATGGGAGCCTCGATAGTCATGGAGTGAATCCTGGCGACGGAGGAATATCTTCGATTCTGTAAACTGGGAGCTGCAATAAAATAAAAATAAAAAAAGAATCATGATTGTGTGACTCATTGATCGCCAGCCTATAATCTATTAACTTAATTAATACACAGAAATAGATCACAGGGCCTGCGATTGTCGTCAAAAGACGAATAGAAAATGTTCACAAAGGGAGAGCCAATGAAGAAAGTACGGAGAGCAAATGTTAATATAAAAGGTAATGAAGGACGAGAAGACGGAGAAAGTGGTTTGACTGAAGGAGCAGAAAGAGGAGCACTCAGCTGGAGACAGCAGCAGAGTCAGCGTGAGCCGAGGAGGGAGGTTCATCGGCCCACGACGTCTCTCTTTAGTCTGACTCATCTCCCCTTTCTCTCCCTTTGTGCTCCTGCTTTCACGTCTCTACTTTATTATTATCTCAAGCCGGGAGATAATGAGATGCGTGTGTGCATCTCTGTGTCTGTCCACGGATAATCTCTCACACTGCGTTATATTTTTGGGTGTGCATGCTCAAGGTCCTCTCATAGATGCAGATTGATACTGCCATTGATCGACTACCGACTCCTCACTTGCTACTCTTAGGGGCCACAAGTGAGAGTGTTTGGCTATCGGCTAACGGAACTACCAGAGCACACACAGAGCTGACTGCGTCGCAGGTAACCTTTCCTACAGAGAGGCTCAAATTAAAGATAATGCATTTTGAGCGGTCTTACCGTCACTGCTGCGAGAGCTGAGCGATCTGGCGTCGATTGAATCTTTCCTCCTGTCCCGGTGACGTAGAGAATGGCACTCTGTAGCGGGGGAGAGGGAAGTGATGGGCATTACATGTACGGCATGTTTAGACTGCTGGACAGACGGGTTCATATTGATAGAGGGGATTCCCGGCACTCTGGAAAAATAAAAACCAGATCCATCTTTGAAAAAAGATATTTTGTACGGTTCCAAAAAGGTATTTCTAGAATCCTTAAAGACTTTTCTTATTATCTGGAGGATAAAATATTCGGTCTGCTACTTGATCAAATAGAATTTTTGAATCAGTTTCCGAAGTTGCAACTCTTGTCTCCTAATCCAGGTATGAACACGCCCATCTCATCACACCGGAACATGCAGTAGGACAATTAGAAATGGACATGTTGCATGGGAAATGAAAGGACTCAAACAGGCAAATTAATAATAATGTTTCCATTTTAAACCAACATCTAAGTTAAAGAAAAATGCTGATGTACGCAGTTATATTTCTAATCATACATTTATTCTGGTCAGTTTCGGGGCTCCATAGCTCAGTTCTGTGGACAGTCTCTGTTGACATCATGCTATCCTATAACTATCTATAAGGTTTTAAATATGAATCTACGTGTCCGATGATGAGACCCGGTCAACATTAAAGTGTCTGGAGGTGAGTTACCTGACTGGGAATGCTCCCCGCTGCATCGCTCCTCCTTGTTGAACCTGTGGACCTGACAGACAGAGAGAGCAGCAGCCGGTTAAAGTCGCAGGCTTTGGAGGACGGCCAAGAGTCACGGCTGGTTCGCCGTCGCTGTGAGGAACACAAGCGGCCTGATTTCCTGTTCCTTGAAAGCAACACGCTGGCAAGGAATCGCTTCTGTTGATTAAAGCCTTAATGTGAGCCAGCGACATGTTTCTATATACTTTGAAGATATCTTTGTCTCACCTCAACAAACTGTTGCATTTAAAAAAATAAATAATTACCATCAGGCGTAAAAAGGAACACAATAGTTTGAATTGTTCACGGGACTTTAAAAACATTTCCCATAACTGTGAACTTCAGTGCACATTTCTCCATGTTTGCAATAATATATGTTCATGCAGGTGACACTACAGTACATCCCGTTAGTCACGCTGAGGTCATGCAGGTATGGATGAGTAGAGCCGGTTTAATCCGGCTAGAGAAGATCTTCCTCACCCGGTGACTCACCTGCACCGTTACATCTTGCTGACCGTGCACATTTATGTAAGGGTGAATGTGCACACACAATTTGTACTTTTTTTAATAGACGGAAATCATAAAAGTAATAACTTTGATATACAGAGAAAGGGGTCCCTGGTATGTTTGTCCATTGCATTTCATTTCTTCCCTCCACGTCACTCTACTTCCTCTTCTGACGGTCGCCTGCTCTCAGGTCTCCAGTGCGTCCCGTGTGGAGTAAATAGGATTAGGACACTATAAACACTTCTAATGACACACAAGGTTGCCAGATTTCTTTGCTGGCTACATCTTAATGGGCTTCTTGGGCTGCAAAGCACAAACAGAAAAAAAAAAACGCATTTTGAATTAAGTTGACTGAAGCTGTAAATAGTTGAGATTATGACGGCCCCTTTAATTGAAGGAGAAAGACAAACAAAAGTGGCCGTAAACCTGCTGTAAGTCTGGAGTGCTTAGACAAACACTGCTAACCAAACAACACCATGAAATGGAAACCGTGGTCCGCAGCCAAGCGTCTGGGTGGGAATAGAAGAAGTGGTTTTAAGTGCTCAGAGGAAAATGTCCTCAGCAGGGTTACGGCATCAGATCAGGGTTATCCTGAAAGGACCTCTGTGGCCTCGGGTCGTCTAATGGATAATAGTGTCTCAGTGACGATGCATTACACGACTCACGGAGGATTTAGTTTAAAATGTCATCAAATACTAAACTTTTGTTCCCACTTTGCATCCTATAATGTGTGATGAGAATGCATAAAGAAAGGGGGGACACCCCCTGTCCAGTTTGACGCTGCACGAGAATGGGATCAGCCGCTGCCATGTCCAAGGATTCCCAATCCCAAAGCAGGGATGAATGCCATCTTGGCTTTTGGCAGGCAGACGCCAGCGGCTGACTCACCTTGTGTCCACGCGATGAAAGAGAGCAACGGGCCAAAGCTGGTCTCTGTGCAGCTTTGCCTGCGGGTATAAATAGCCCCAGCGCCTGGCTGCTGGCCCTCACTGGCCTTAGCGGGGGATCCTGGTGCTTAGCCGTAGCTTAGCGTAGTATGACGCTATTGGCCCGGAACCCAGCTGGAGAGCGGCGGCGGCACACCTGCTTTCAGAGGTGTGTCGCTGCTCAACGTAGCTGGATGCCTGTGAGACTGCATATCCCGTTGGAAGTATGTAAATCTGACACTTGCAGCCCTGCAGTTCATTTGAAGTATATGTAACTGCCAGCAAGAGTTTTGCAACCCGGTCTGAGACTCAATCGTTGGTTTCTCCGGCAGGCTTGATTGGGCCAAGCTGTGCCGTAGCATTAGGACTGCTGATGGACTGACATTTAAATATTCCACCCTGTCATAGTAAAACGTGGGTTCAGAAAGTATAAAGCTTTTTAAATTAAATTCTGTAGCAGCAGCTGCTAGTAAACTTCTAAACTAAGGATTTATCATCTAAGCCTGAAAATCAGCGTTTTGGTTTAAGATTTCAAAACTGTGAACGTGCACTATTCAGGCTGGATGAGTACATGCAGAGAAGGATTTACATTTCTGCCTCAGGTACCTGAATGTGTCAAAGATGAAGATTTTATTTTCCACTCTTGTGGTCAAAGCTCTTGCGTGAGTTCTTGTGAGAACCTCTTCTGCTCTCAGGAGGCCTCCAGATATTATTAGAGCATGACTGAACATCTAGTGATGACTGAAATCATCACTGAGTTCAGCGCTTCATCAGGCTTTAGCCAGAATCAGGCGATACGATTAGTGTCGTGATAGAGGGTGCCGATATATATTACGATTTTCTGAATTGAAGTTGAGTAAAAGCTGTCGTAGTATAAAGAATCATTTTAATGTTTTTGAGAAGCAATACAGCATAAAAATCATAATATCGCGATACTCAATATTTTCCTGCATTTCATCATGACCAAAAATGAAAAGAACGGAAATAGTCCAGTAACATGTGTCTCACTTTAGGTCGTCACATGACTCACCTGATTATTGTTGTCAATGTGAGGTCTCTTGATGGCCACGAAATGTCGAATCTTCCTGTTGGAAGCGAGATAAGAGTCCGTACAGTAATTCAGACTTCTTGGAAATGCCCTGTGAGCACTTTGTGCTGACTAATCTTAGCTTACCCTCCTTGACCGACGACAGGTGTTATCTTCACATGCTGCTGTACGCTGTCGCCCGACTTCTTCCTGGCGTAGTACATGCCCTGCCATTCCTTTCAGAGACAAGCAAAGCAGTCAGGCGGCGATACGGCGTCGTGTCATTTCACAGAGGAGTAGATGGAAGGAGGCGTGAGACTCACCTTTCCTTTTTTGATACAGGTGTTGATGGTGTCCAGCAGGTCGGCTCTGTTCTTGTCGCTCTTGGGGAGTTCGGTCAGTTCCTTCCCGATCAACTCCCCCTTGTGATAGCCCATCATCCGCTCAAACGCTGGGTTCACGTACTGGGACCAAACCGGGAAAACGTAGCGTTAAAGTCTAGTAATGTACAGTTTTCTTATTGATGACACATTCTATGAAAGGGTGGGTCCCTTATTTATTTATTTTCTGGGAATTTTTAAGATAATTCTATAGCAACCAAGTGTTGGTCCGTTTGTATTAAAATCTAAAAATTACAATGTTGGTCAAAGTATGTATTTCCGTCAATGCTTTCTAAAAATAAATGTACATCTCCTGACAGGCTGGGGAAAGACGGAAGGTGTGGAGTATGGTATCTAACAGATCTCGCTCCTTCTGACTCTGCATGTCTGTGGACGTCTGTGCTTTACCTGTATTATGTGGTCCTCACTGGTGATCTCCACAGCCTCGTGACAGTGCTCCAAAGCCGTGAAGACGGAGTTACAAGCCCTGCGGATCAATAAAGCCGCATGCACCTCAGGATTAGCAACTCCAGTACCAACACCTCCACCTTCTAATGTGTCTGTGCATGCATGCATATGACCATTAATATGACTAATATGACTATGATTATGGTGTTTGCCATACCTGAGTTTGAACTGGCAGCGCACCTCTCCATGCTCAATCTGTATGAGCTCATTATAGCACGCCGACACACTGCTGCTCTCCACAAACCTCTGGAGGTTCAGCGGCGTTTGAAGGAGAAAGAGAGACAGGGGAGTGGAAAAATCAAATGAGTCAGGATTTACTCAGTAGCGACCTCCTGTACGTCACATTCACACCATCAAACACCGCTGACGATAAGCGCCTCCTTCAAAAACCCGGCAACGTGCTGCTGTTCTAGAGGCTCAATGAAAACCAGGACGTCCCACTTTACAGTCTGCTGTAAACACACATGCACAAGTGAAAGGCGAGCGGCGGGACGTACTCTGCTGAATCCGGCACAGAGGAGAGGAAGAACAGACGGCTCGTCCTGGTCAGCCGGTCTACACAATGACAAGAAAAGAATCATTAGCAGCTGCAACCACAAACAAACAACACTTAAAAGCCTGAGATTGTATTCCTTTTGCACAATTCTTGCTGACCAAAGATAGGGAATATGATCAAATTGGTTTATTTGAAACAGTGTGAATATTACTATCAAATAACAGATCATTCATTTGATCTATGACCTGGCAAACATCTCTCTTTATCCCTTTAAATCCCACCTGCCCGTCAGAACAACAAGCACACCCAACAACATGCTGCAGGAAGAAGAGAAAATATTGTTTCAAGGAAATGTGACGACATCAAGACAAGCGGTAAATATGGAGGAGGTTTTTAAGTTTGCATTAACTCATTTATTATTATTCTTTACTTTGTTGCTTTGAAGCAAAGTTTTCAGGGACTTTGAGACACAACTGCACAAAACACCCACGACACAGAAGGTGTTAAAGTCTTCAAAAGGTCAAATCAAACTCACTTTTGCGGCACAACAGCCAGAATAACGGTGTTTTCGGACGGCTTCGTTGCACGGATCAACCTGGAATAAAAAACAATAACAAGTGGATTAAAAGTCAATAAGGGCTCATCTCAGGCACACTTTCAGCTCATGACACGCTGCTCGGACTCAGGTACATCACAAACACGAGGGCAGATTTGGGGGTGATGATGTCATCGCCACGAAAGAGGGAACGGAACATTTCTGTGTTTTACTCAGAAACACCAAACACAACATGAGCTTCAGAGGTTCCTCAGGCCACAAAGCCACACCGCTGGCAGGTGGTACGGGGAAAGTGGACAGAAGACATGGAGGAGGAGGAGAGGAGGAGGAGAGGAGGAGGAACAGGGGGAGCAGATGACGGCAGAGAAAAATAAATGGTGATGAGGACGGACGAAACGAGAGAAGCAGCCAAACTGGTAATCAGGAGAGACGAATGGATCTGTTCCTGTACTGATGGAAATAACGAATCACTTGTAATAAATCACTCTATGAAATACTTGCTGGTGGCTTTTAGTGCGTCTAAGAAGAAGGGTTTGTACTGTTCCTCACAATACAAGAAGTCTGCAGGAATAAACACAATAATAATACATTTATTTTTATAGCAGTTTAAAAAGGTACTCAAAGGCACTTTACATGGTAAAAAGCGAAACAATAGAAGCAATAACAATATTCAGAACGGTATGAAGGGGCTGAGGCTGTGACGGGCTTTGTATGTAAAATAAATAAGGATTTACAATCAGCCGAAAACTCAAAAATGTTTAAACGTGAATAAAAGATGCTTGCAGACATTGCAATGATGCACAGAGGGTATTCACACAGAAGTAACACAACCACGGGACACTCGTTAAACACTTTGTTCAGTGGGAAACCCCATTCAATGCTCTCAACAAAGAAAAGTCAACAAGCAGAAGAAGAATATTCAGCTTTTTTAGTTGTTATTTGCATTAATCAGAGATTGGTTATGATTTTAATGTCACCTCATATTCTTCAGGGAGTCAGGGAAGAGGAGGAAACATTTAAAGTTTTCAGATTTGCAAAAGATATATGGTTAAATACACTTCCTCCTGCATACATCTTCAAAAAGATGTCCATAACAAACTCAGTACTGCCAGTGTGAACTCAACTAACACCTGCAGGAAGGAGGAAGGAGCGAGGTTATTCTGCAATCACAGAGAGGTTTCTGAAAGACAAGAAAGATCCCTGCATGTGCACAACTCTCCTCTCCTCCGGGCCGCCATCCAGCTTTACCGCCAACAAACAAACTCACCAGTTCAGACTCACTCTAGCGCTGCTCTACTTCAATGGCCACTTGTGAATTGTGACATCCAGCGTCCACCGCTTATTGTTCTTAGAGCAGAACAGAGAGTTGAGCAACAGTTGGAGCAGCAGCGATATCAGACTACAATGAAGCAAAGAGTGTAGATTCAGCTGGATAGAAGCCCGTAGTACCTGCAGTGAACACCAGGTGGTGCCAACAAGCCCTCCACTGCAGCTGTTTGCAGTTCAGCTGCACGAAGACTGACTGAACTCTGGATTTTCTTGTTTATTATTAGTTTTAGGTGAAAACCTCATAATCTCAGCATGGATTGTTTTTGACTGAAGTGAAGGATTTCATGCTCTTTGTGATAAGAAATGATCCACACAGAAGCAGCGACGGCAGACACACAGGTGAGGCTCACCGGCATACAGCTTCGGGCTCAAAGTAGCGAGAGTGGCGTCCATCAACGACTATAATCTCGTGGTGCTTGTCCAGGAAACACTCGACGGCAGACTCGGCCGTCCGTGCGATGTTACACCTGAACCCGGCGCGGTCGCAGGCCCACCAGAAGGCATCGCTTTGGCTGTCCTCCTTGGCGAACACCAGCAGGACCTGAGGAGGCAGAGGAAGGAATGGACACCCGGGTGAGATGGCGCTGCTACTACGGTGATAATTATAGGATATCTATGTTAGCAGGTCCTCACTACATTTACTACTCAGACAGGACATTCTCCAGAGAAGCACACATCCAAGAACCAGACTTCAGCTGTAACATACACTTCTGACACCAAGGTTACAGTACGACCAGGGCTACTGACAGTTATGGGCCTGAATAATACAGTGCTGCAAAACCTCAAAAAACACAGTAACTCACACGACGAATAAACACATTTAAAAAGGACTAAATAATAAATAATAACCGTGTTACAGTTTGCATCTTCTCTCTGAGAATGAGTGGACTTCCTCCCACAGTCACATGACTATCTCAGGGGATTTGAAGACTGGGAACTGTCCATAATTGTAAGTGTGTTCATCCATCTGCTCGTCTGCCCCTCTGATAGGCTGGCAGCTTTTTTGCTCATTGCATGCTGGGAAACACTCCAGCCCTCAACATAACCCTCGCTAGAGAGAGTTAATGAACACCTGGGCTTAACAGACCACATCATGCTAACGTCATGGTATCGTCTTCTCCCAGTTAAGAGTCATTCCATCAATAAAATAAAAAAACTGAGCGGCACATAATTCACAACTGAGAGCTGTTTATCACACCGACAGACACGAAGCCTGCAGACTCTTGTTTTTGATCCCACACTGTGTTTCGACCATGAACACACCAGCCACCTTTGGTGCGGTGGTGAGGAAATACAACACTGTAAGAGACACACACACACACACACACACACACACACACACACACACACACACA